AAAAAAAAGAAAAAGAAAGAGAAAGAAAAAAACTCGATCGTGTTCTCGGACCCACGAGACCCGAATTTCGCAAAATTTGTTCAATCCCGAATGGTGGGAGGTTGTACGAGAGGAAACGAATCGGCATCCGAGTAATTTATAACGCGAGTGGGAAAGTGGTCGAGAAATTTGTGAGGTTTTTGCAGGCCTCGTGGAATTACCCGTAACCACTTCTTTAGTAATGACTTCTTCGTACGACCTATCTCTCGAAACGATCTTTCTATTTATAAACCTCGGCTCGCAACAAGATAGCGCTCTTATTGTGCCGGGCTTGAAAATCGTGTGGGTAATTTCCAGAGAGAGAGAAGAAAAACGCGATCACTGTCCCGGTTTATTAACCGTAAAAGGAGCGTGCGAGATAAGGGGAAGAAAAATATCGTATTTGCTATATACATCTATATTTATCTCGATACACTCGAGATAGCCCGATTTACCGTGATTCATTGGGAGCAAGTTTGCGGGGCAAAAATGGCGCCACGGCTCTGGATCGATCCTTTCGATGGACGTTGATTGTTCGCTCATCGGCAACGACACGTGTCGGCGTCCTTAGACAGAAATTAAACAGAAATTAATATTCCGACACGTTCTTAACTTCCTTTCCTCCTCCAGGTGTGACTTCCGTCTTCCCGCGCAAACAGGAAGAGCGGATTCGAGGGGCGAAAACGGGCACGGGATAGTTTCGGTTCGTTGCTCGATCGGGAACGATGGATATCGCGAGGGATCGCGTTTCGCGCGATTAATCCAGTGCCCGCCGCGAGATCTGTATGCGGCGATCGGCCGATTGTTATTCAGAGGGCGCGGCGGCCGTCCGCGATGCGCAGACGGAGTGCGCGTTCCATCGCGACGCGAACACGAGTTTAGAGGCATAATTTTGAGGAACGACGTGGATCGTGGCCTGGCGGAAAGATGAAATATCCGCGGTTCATGTTTTATGGATGCGGCGAACAATTATAAAACAGTAGGGTATAAATTTGAAAAAAGTGCTGGGAAGAATTCGCGATGAGACAGGGGACATCCGAAATGCACGCTAAGTTGCAGGCTACCAGTTTATAGCGACGATTGTCGAGGCACGATCGAGACGGTTGATGCGACCGTCGCTCGTGATTTAGTGCTGGGAAACGTTTTGTAACATTCGGCTACTTTATACGAACACCATAAGGAAGAGAAAGGTATAAACTTCGAAGGTATAAAAATATATGGAAAACTCGACGACCAGGTCTAAATTACTTTTTATTTATTTTTTTTTTTTTATATAACGACGCGCCAAATCTACGATCCAGTCTAATTTCGTTAATGGAAGTAACGAAATCTTACTTTTAAAGAGTCTTACTTTTGCTATTGTATCGCTTATCGGCATCGTAAATATTTATTTTTGCGTTAGTTGTGTTATAAAATCTAGTCTAAGAGACAATGAGGTCCATTCTTCGAAGACAAACGATCACCGATTTCCCCCGTTTCGAACGAAAAGCGAATCTTCATCGCAAGTACAACTTGAAAAATTTCCAAAACCACTGTGAGAACCTCGTTAACTCTCCTAACGTGCGATGACGACGAAAAAGAGGAAGGGGAGGAGAAGGAGCGTGGGCAGGAATTCCTCGGTCGCGTTTCCAAAGGATCGTGAACGCTTGCGTTGCACAACTAACGCATACGTTCGGCCAATAGAGGAAAGCCTCTCTTGCGGTTGCAGTCCACGGAGAGCACTCGAGCTCTCTCGAGTTCCCTCAAGGTGGTCTCGTCTAAATATAGCCGAGTGGAGCCCAGAATAACAGCACGTCGCGAGCCGGCAATGACCAAAGCCCAACTCGTTCACCGACAACCGAGCCAGAGGCAGCAGCGGCGGGATAACCGACCAACCAGGTCGGTCAGTTTTGTCTACCGGCCTCCAGACTCGTTCCTCCGGACCTAGGTCTCCTCTTGGAAGAGGAGGAGGAGGAGGAGGAGGAGGAGGAGGAGGAGGAGGAGGAGGACCTGCCTTTAAAACAATACTCTTCTACGATTCTTTTAAACGTTAGCGTCCTCTTTGTTTGTTGGCCCCGCTGTTGCTTCGAATTCGGGGACTGGTTCTTCTCTGAATCCGGACCAGTTTCGTCTACCGGATCATCGATCACCCGAGGCTCTGGTTTTATGCAAAATCAGGGGACTATCGTTTACGTAGCCTTTGGTACTTTGGCTTCTTTAAATCTTTTCGATCGGGGTTACGGTATCGATATCGTTGGGACGATGATATCTCTGTTCCCTGGTAATTTTATTTGTGATAATTCGTTTGGATAATTGGATCTTTATTCCATGATGTTATTTTCACTTGAATCGCTTTGAGGAATCATAGCGAGATTGATTGAAATGGTTAAAAGGTTGAATTATTTATAGTGGCTTACTAAAGGTTAAATGCTTTATAAATTAATTGCTATCTACGTTGATCGTTCATGTATGTAAAACTATTCATGTATATCAAGCAACCGAGAATACTTCCTTTTTTTCTTTTTTCTTTCTTTCTTTCTTTTTTTTTTTTTTCTCTAACTTAAAAAGTTGTTGAAGTTTTTCGTCATCGGTGCAACATCGTCAGATTGCGATCGTATTCGCATAAATACGAGAGAAAGATGAACAAAATATACGAAAATCTATGGAATGCCATGATATGCAAGAAAAAAAAAAGGATCAAAATATTCAATGTATAGTTACACATGTTCGAAGAACAAAGCAAATCTTCAAGGCAAATCCATTCTCTTACTCACGTTCATTTATAAATTTTATTCTGTGCATAAACATCCGTGGTAAAAAAGATTAGCGATTGAATTAATCGAATTAATTTTTACAAGGTCGCACACACTTGTACAAAGTTTACACCAGTCACAATCGGATGATAGGCTGTTTTAAAGAAACGGGGAGACTCGAGCGAGATGAACAATCGTAATTTCGTCATTCCGATGCGGCCCAGCCAACTTCCTCCCGCCGTGGAATTTTATATATATATTTTTTTCTCTTTCTTTTATTATTTTTTCCTTTTTTTATCCTTACACGATGATTACGATAAATGCCGCTATCATACGCGGCGCATAGTCAACTTCCTTTCGGCGAATTCACAAACGGGTATCATACGCTCGACGTCCGGTCTTCGGAGAGGGGGAAGGGAAGAAGAATCTTTGGGAGAGGAGAGGATGATTTCCTTCTTTTCGTCTCGTGTTTTCTTCGTCCTTCCTTCTTCCAATTTAGCATTTCCAGTCGAAATTCCGCGCAAAAAGCCGGCGGCCGGCTTTACGATCTCGCGCACAACTCGGATAAGAAAGAAAAAGGAAGGATTCCGGCCAGGTGGGTAAATTGCCTCTGACGATCTCCACTTCCTGGAATCGTGGGAGGATGAGCGGAGAACACTGGAAAGAGAAAGTGTTCACAATTTTCGCACGCGAAAAATTGTGGCCGGGATGCTCGTTAATCGAACAAACTACCTTCCTTTTGAAATTCCTTTTTTTCAACGAGATCATTTTATTGGAATTATCCAATAAGATATTATTATTGGTGCCTTCGTGTTCATTTTTTCAACGATAAATTATCACCTGATACTACTACGAACATCGAAGGGATAACATTTCCTGAGAAAGAAAGGAGCCAAGAACGAATCTCGTTTCTCGTTTTTCACCGATCCCCTCCCCCCCTCACAGCGTGAATTTATGACACGCGCTTACGAGACAACGCTTTCCGTAAACCGCAAATCCCGCAACAAAAAAAAACCCCATAAACAAATGGATGCAACAAAAGGAAAGAGCGGCGAACGAATGGATGATCGATACGTGGATTTTCGTGGTCGCTCTCCGATCGTCGCGATTCGATCTCCGAGTGAGAATCGGAGAGAGTCGGGCCGGCATAAGCAGAGAGAGAGAGTGGAGGGAAGAGCGGGGAGGAGGGGAAAAAAAAGAAGAAACCGGAGCAAAGGAGGAGGGAGGGGACGGCGGTGGAGAGAAAAAACGGCGGAAAGTGGATCGTGGCCTGGCGGTGGTCGCCACGGTTAAAGTAGAACTGACCCCCAGTTGTCACGTTTAATTTATATGTTAATGAGCGCATGTCACATTTCAACGGTACGGAGCACAACCGTCCCGTGCACTTCTCCTCTCGCGAGTGCCACACCACAGGGAGAAGAGAGTTGCCCCGTTCATTCCACTCTCCTTCTGCCCTCCTTCGCACAGCCTGCCACAGGTTTATATTTAACCGCGCGCCACACACCATGACACCAGGCGCAGCCCACTTTGCCGCGTTACTCTCCTTGCCTTCTGCTCTCTTACCATTCTTCTTCTTCTTCTTCTTCTTTTTCTTCTTCTTCTTCTTCTTCTTGTTTGCCCCACCTACTCTTTCCTTTTCTTCTCTTTTCTTGCTTTAGTCTCTTTTGATTTCTATTCAACTTTTTCCTTCCTTTTTCTTTTTGGCTCCTTTTAGGGGGCTCTTCGTTGATCCTTTCAATTTTTCGCAGTCCCCTTTCGCTGCTGTTTTTCATCCGTTTGGTTGTTTTCTTTTTTTTTTTTTTTTTTTTTTTTTTGGATAGTTGTTTGATGGACTTTGTTCGGACTTGTTAAATTTTAGTTGTTTACACGGTTATTATGCCTTTTCGAGGATTTTGGTCAAGGCCAATTTTGATAGGTAACTGGATAATTGAAGGGATATTGTCGATGAAATTTACAGAACTTTTATTATGAATTATTCGATTCAAACGATTTTGGAAAATTCTTCTAATTTTAATCGAATGATGAAATGATTGGGATTGATTGATCTTCACATAGGTTTAATTACAATTAAACCAAAACTTGATTTTTCAAGAAAATGTGCTCTTAATTATTATACAACCCCTTCACTCCTTCCCTTAAAACACATCTAATTCAAGTCACAAAGTTCATTTATCCAACGATCGTTTTCATTTGACACAACTGTTGCTGATAAACGCAATTTTTGGAAATTTCTAATTATATGAATTGCAGAAATGTTCGGACTACAAAGCGTCGAAGGTGAACACGTTCGCCAGGACCGAGCCGCCGGACACGCAGGTGACGAAGTCGGTGATCGCGTTGCTGCTCCATTACGGGTGGAACAAATTCACCATCATCACGGAGAGCGCGTGGTCGACGGTGGCCAAATCGCTGGAGGAGCAGGCCACCAAGAACAACCTCACCGTGAACCACTACAAGACCGTGGAGGACCGACACACGTGCTGCGAGGAAAGGCTGCCGTGCTGTCAAGTCAGCGTATGGTTCCAACTTATACAGGAGACCAAAAATATGACCAGGAGTCAGTCCAAGTTTACTTTATATCTCGATATATCTCGCGGGACGCGTCGTCGGGACGACTGTAACGATTCATCCAACCATTTTCCATCTGTTTATTGCCTCTCGAGGGAGGGAGGGGGGGGTCTCCGTTAATCAAGAAACCGCCACTTTCCGTTCTATTCGAAAGAAGTTTCGACCGATTGTAATCTATTTTTAGAGGATCTTGATCTTCGGGTCGGGAAGAAGGGATTCTATTTTTGAATTTCAAACGTGATATCGTTTTCGGAAACAACGTATCACGATTTTTAAACATTTGTAATTCTTTCGTTGAGAGAAGCTTTATCGCTCAAACAAACTCCTGCCTTTTTTTTATTTTTCATTTCTCAAAAACGTGTTACGGTCTTGTTTCCGGCGAATTATAACCCTGATTTCTGACGTAAACACGTTGTTAGAGGGACCGTTCGGCTTTATGTTACAGTTGAATTTTTAGCGAATATTCCAAAATACTGGAATCGTCAACGAAAGAATACAAATTGATCTTTAATCACGAATGAAATGTTAACTAGCTAGCCTAGTTAACCCGAGAACCACACATCGAAAATAAAACTTAGAAAAAATTCTTCTCTATTCTCTCTCTCTCTCTCT